TCCGCACCTGAAAGAAGTCACTTTGGAAGGCGAGTCGGCCGACGGCGCGAACAGTGGCCACTGGGAGAGCGCGGCGGCCGAGCAGTTGAGGCGATCGACGACCGAATGCAGCGATTGTCGCGTCGGAAGCGTCTGAGGAGAGGTTTGGAACGACTTGGAGACGAATTGCGTCAACTGTTCCATCGGTTTGCGATCACAGACTAATTGAACGTTCGAACGCTTTATTGCATTAAAGAAGAACCGAACGAAAGAAGCCTTTTATATGCCCTTTAATCTGATTAGCGGCGCTTCCCTCCGACTCCGCCCCCACGCCCTGTGATTGGCTGCAGTGCAAGAGTGAGAGGAAGGGGGCCAATGGGCGCTCGCCTGGAGTGCAGCGCAAATTAATTGACTCTCTTGTAAATCAGTGCCAATTGAGGCTTCAATCTAATTACTCCTCCTTTTGTGTTTTTTGTGACAAATGAATGCAAATTCGCTCTATTATTGAAATGCAAGGCAATTACGAGACGAAAGGAAAGTGACTTTAATTGAAACATAAAAGCTCTAAAAAGCTTCTCTCAAGTCATTAAGCAGTCNCGCAAATTAATTGACTCTCTTGTAAATCAGTGCCAATTGAGGCTTCAATCTAATTACTCCTCCTTTTGTGTTTTTTGTGACAAATGAATGCAAATTCGCTCTATTATTGAAATGCAAGGCAATTACGAGACGAAAGGAAAGTGACTTTAATTGAAACATAAAAGCTCTAAAAAGCTTCTCTCAAGTCATTAAGCAGTCGTCGGAGCGTTTGTCGCGAATTCGAAGACAAACGACTCGCGTCTCGACCGAAGACGCGGAAGAGAGAAGAACGCCGGCTGATTGGAGTTTGCGTTTCCCATTACAGGCAATCATACGATTGTTTACCGAAACAATAAACGCTTTAATCAGAAGAACATTTGAATTACAAATGCGACGCCCGAAGCGTCGGTCGCGTGAGTCATGAGCGGATCGATGGGCGCGTAAATGACGTCACGATTATTGGAAATCAATTTCTGGGGAAAGACTGCGCGTTGCGAACGCCCTCTAGTTTCTCGAAATGTTTCCTCGAATTGCGGATATTGATGAGAGTGGCGGCCGAAGCTGTGGAGAGATGGCGTTAGTGTGCGACTACTGTAATACAGCATACGTACGAATGGTCGCGTCCGACATAATGACCATGACGTAAGTGTTGGGCGTGAAGACGTCGATGAAAGCGGCGAAATTGGCGTTCTTCACTTCCATCGAGTGGAACTGCGCGGCCAGTTTGGAGCAGGACAGCTTGAACTGCTTGATTATGTTCGACACCTTCTCGAAGCGCTAGAGGGAGAGAGTGTCAGAGGTCAGAGTTGAGGGGTCAGGGGGTGAAAGGGCACAGACGTGAACGTCGCGGTGGGGTTTGCGCTGACAGTAGGAGATAACGAGGAATGTGGCCCTCTCGAAGAGCAGCACTTCGTCGGCGTCGATGATCTCCGCGAAATGGTTCAAATGCTTCTCCAATTCGTGGACATTCGGGATCAAAGAGTAGACAATGGTTGACCACGCCTTGTACAGCGTCTCGTCCCAAATGGAGGTGCGGAAGCAGACGCAGTCCAGAGGGCGCGACAGTCGCTTCAGATCGGTTTCGCGCTCTTTGAAGATCTGTTGGGAGACAAGTGTGAGAAGCGGTTCAACGAGAAGGGAGCGACGCACGAGTTCGCGCTGGTCCTCCTGCACCAGGTCCATCTTGTGGATGAGACAGAAGATCTTGGTTTCGGGCGAGAACTGGAGGATGGCCTCCAAACACGACTGGTAGTAATGCATGTCTTTCTCGAGTTCGCGCGACTCGACGTCAAACACGTAAATCAAAACCTCGACGTTTCGGAAGATNAGGTCCATCTTGTGGATGAGACAGAAGATCTTGGTTTCGGGCGAGAACTGGAGGATGGCCTCCAAACACGACTGGTAGTAATGCATGTCTTTCTCGAGTTCGCGCGACTCGACGTCAAACACGTAAATCAAAACCTCGACGTTTCGGAAGATGTTCTGCGGAGAGAAGCGAATTAGAGACGGAAGTGAAGGCGAGCAGAGCTGACCTCTCGCTGAGCGGCGAAGTAGTTCTCCATAAAGGCTTCCTTCGGGGAGAGAGAGGTTTAGAGAGACGAGAGTTGAGGCCAACAATACCTGTCCGCCGCAGTCCCACAGGTTGAGCACCAGATTGCCTAAGAAGCGCACGTGCGAGTGCTCCACGTCGACTGTGGGGCAAAGTGGTCAGTTCGGGTCAACACAGCACTCATCACTTACTCGTGGCGCCGAGTCGTCGGGTGTCGCGCGCGATGTAGTTCGCGAAGATGATGGACCGCATCGACGTCTTCCCCGAACCGCTTTTGCCCATCAGAAGAACCTAAGAGACAATCGTTGAGAGATTGGATTTGAGGACAAAATCGTAGATCTTGGTTTCGGGCGAGAACTGGAGGATGGCCTCCAAACACGACTGGTAGTAATGCATGTCTTTCTCGAGTTCGCGCGACTCGACGTCAAACACGTAAATCAAAACCTCGACGTTTCGGAAGATATTCTGTGAGAAGAGAAACGAAATGAAGAACGCATTGAAGGCGAGCAGAGCTGACCTCTCGTTGAGCGGCGAAATAGTTCTCCATAAAGGCTTCCTTCGGGGAGAGAGAGGTTTAGAAGGACGAGAGTTGTGGCCAACAATACCTGTCCGCCGCAGTCCCACAGGTTGAGCACCAGATTGCCTAAGAAGCGCACGTGCGAGTGCTCCACGTCGACTGTGGGGCAAAGTGGTCAGTTCGGAGCACACATGACAGCACAGCACTTACTCGTGGCGCCGAGTCTTCGGGTGTCGCGCGCGATGTAGTTCGCGAAGATGATGGACCGCATCGACGTCTTCCCCGAACCGCTTTTGCCCATCAGAAGAACCTAAGAGACAATCGTTGAGAGATTGGATTTGAGGACAAAATCGGAACCTTTTTCTTCATTTCGAGATTTTGACGCCTTTTAAACGACGACACAAACAGAGAATGACGACAACACGTGACCACAGATGGCGACACCGTTTAGTGAAATGCTTTTATTTATGAAATACAAAAAAGTTTAATCTTTTCTTCGTTTCGAAGAACTCTTTGTTTCCGAGTTTTCCGATCTTTTGCTCGACTTCTTCACTTCGGTCAAGAACTTGTCCAAACCGAACGGATCCTCTTCCTCCTGGCGCTCGAACTGAACCGGGCCTTCGCGTCGCGTCGAGTGATCGGTTCCGGCGAACTCTTTGTCGGGCGCGAAACGCGACGTCTTCGCCAACGCCTCCAAATCGTAAGTCTCGTCGTGTTGTGCGCGCGACGGCCGGTACAGGTTGTTCTGCACGGCGGCGGCCGAACGCCACGGCTTGTCGTAAACGCCGTACTCGTCGTCGTCTTGGAAACCGCTTCCCAATCCCTTCGACTGATTGAACAGCCGTTCGTCGAACTGCACGTCTGTTCCCGAAGAGCGCGCGTTCGCCACTCCCAGCGCGATCTGCTCCGAGATGTCTCTCTCGCGCTGTCTCTCGAGTCGCGACCGCTTCTCGGGCGCCGCTCTCTGGACGTTGCGCTCCCGCTGGCGCTCGCGATGTCTGTCGTGTCGGATCTGGTCTCTCTCGCGCGCGTCCTCCACGGGAGAGGCGTCGCGAATGCCGGCGCGTTCTTCGCGCGCTTTGGCCGCCAGAGAGCGCAAGTGGTCCTCTTTGCGCTCCTTCTCCTTCTGCGCGAGTTTGCGCTCCATCTGCGCGCGCGTCTCCACGGCCTTCGAACGGATCCTCTTCCTCCTGGCGCTCGAACTGAACCGGGCCTTCGCGTCGCGTCGAGTGATCGGTTCCGGCGAACTCTTTGTCGGGCGCGAAACGCGACGTCTTCGCCAACGCCTCCAAATCGTAGGTCTCGTCGTGTTGTGCGCGCGACGGCCGGTACAGGTTGTTCTGCACGGCGGCCGCCGAACGCCACGGCTTGTCGTAAACGCCGTACTCGTCGTCGTCTTGGAAACCGCTTCCCAATCCCTTCGACTGATTGAACAGCCGTTCGTCAAACTGCACGTCTGTTCCCGAAGAGCGCGCGTTCGCCACTCCCAACGCGATCTGCTCCGAGATGTCTCTCTCGCGCTGTCTCTCGAGGCGCGACCGCTTCTCGGGCGCCGCTCTCTGGACGTTGCGCTCCCGCTGGCGCTCGCGATGTCTGTCGTGTCTGATCTGGTCCCGTTCGCGCGCGTCCTCCACCGGCGAGGCGTCGCGAATGCCGGCGCGTTCTTCGCGCGCTTTGGCCGCCAGAGAGCGCAAGTGGTCCTCTTTGCGCTCCTTCTCCTTCTGCGCGAGTTTGCGCTCCATCTGCGCGCGCGTCTCCACGGCCTCGCGCGCCTTCCTGTCCGCCACATAAAGCGCTTCCGACAGTTTGGCGAAGTTCTCGTTGATGTGGATCTGTTGGAGACCGCGCCCGTCGGCCGCCAACCGCTTGTCCAGCGGAATCGTGTATCCCTTGGAGTTCTTCCAGTTGGAGATGCAGGGCGGTATGCGCCACTCCTGCTGCTCGCGCACTGACACCTTGCGGGTGGGCGAGTGCATGACGGGGGGCGGGGGCGAGGGCGGGGCCTGCGGCACCTTCTTGTTCATCTTGAAGCGCGGCGGTTCCAGCGGATCCTTCTGCACCTCCACCATTCGGATGATGCGCTGATCGCTTCCCGAATTGCACGTCGGGTCGGACTGGGAGGCCGTGTAGCGGATGTACTGCGCCGGCGCCGTCTTCTCGGCCGCTCTGACCGGCAGTGCGGCCGCGATCTTGGATTGGGTGATGCGCTGGAGAGCGAGACGCGTCTCTTCGGTGGCCGATTGGACCGCCTCTTCGTCCGGCTTCTGCAGAGTGTCCTCATCGAGCACTTCTTCGGGCAACAGGTCCTGCAGTCTGTGGTAAATCACTTTCTCGCGGTTCGCGTTCTGTTTCAACAGCGCGTCGAACCGAATGTTTCCCTTCGCGTCCAACTCCACGGCCAGAGCGTTGGACGTGACCGCAGACTGTCTGCCGATTCCGCGCGGGAACTGCGCGACCAGAATCTCGGGAAAAGCGCCGCCGTCGCCGAAGTCGTCGTCACAGCGCGGCGTCCATCCAATCCGGAAGCCGTATTCCGGCGCTCGACTCGCGGCGAGTGTCGTCACGGGAGCGGCGATGACGTCATCGACTGCCGGAACTGTGGATCGTTTGGGAGACGGAAGACGAGACGCGAAAGAAGTCATTGTTGTTGTGTTCGCCTGACGTTCGCACAAACAGTGGAATAGTTTCTACTGTTCACAAACACCGTTACGTCTCATGAACACCCCCCACAGCATAGTAATCATATGAACGTAATCATATCGATCGCCCCCTCGTAACGACTATACGAACGCACACAAAGAACGTGGGCTTTGGACGTAATTATTGGGCCTCGAGATGAGCTGCGATTCAGTGGAGGAATGGATTGTTTTGGCGCAAGAGTGCAAATATCTGCCCGAAAACCAGTTCAAAGTGAGTTCCGGACATCACGTGATCGCAGACTAACCCCCAATGCATTCCCTTCGCAGCGCTTGTGTGACATCGTGTGCGAGATTCTGGTGGAGGAGAGCAATGTGCAGCCCGTGTCCACTCCCGTCACGGTGTGCGGCGACATCCACGGCCAGTTCTACGACTTGGAGCAGCTGTTCCGCACGGGCGGCCAAGTGCCCGACACCAACTACGTGTTCCTGGTTGGGGTGAGCGCAGTCACGTGACCAAACTAACCATTGCTCTGCACTTTAGGGCGATTTCGTGGACCGCGGATATTACAGTCTCGAGACGTTGACGCGATTGTTGACACTGAAGGCCAAATTCCCCGAACGAATCACGCTTTTGCGCGGAAACCACGAGTCGAGACAAATCACGCAAATCTACGGCTTTTACGGTTCGTAACAATAAAGACGACACGAGAACTGACTCTCTCTCCCCGCAGACGAGTGTCAGACGAAATACGGAAACGCCAACGCGTGGAAGTACTGCCAGAAGGTGTTCGACCTCTTGAACATCGCCGCCGTAAGCAGAGACGTGTCACGTGACCGCCGCTAACGCGCTGTCATTGCAGGTGATCGACGGGCGCGTGCTGTGCGTGCATGGTGGCCTGTCGCCCGAGATCAACGCTTTGGACCAGATCAAGACGTTGGAGCGCAATCAGGAGATCCCTTATAAGGGCGCCTTCTGCGACCTCGTGTGGTCCGACCCCGAAGAGGTGGACACGTGGGCCATGAGTCCGCGCGGCGCGGGCTGGCTGTTCGGCGCGCGCGTCACGCACGAGGTGAGGGGAGAGAGTGTTTTGGCAATTGGTCTGAAATGCTCTTTATTGATACAGTTCATGGCGCTGAACGATTTGGATCTGATCTGCCGCGCGCACCAACTCGTGCAGGAGGGCTTCAAGTACATGTTCGAGCACCGGCTCGTGACGGTGTGGTCGGCGCCCAACTACTGCTACCGGTGCGCCAACGTGGCCGCAGTGCTCACGTTCAACGCGGTGGACGAGCGCGAGGCCAAGATCTTCGAGGCGGTGCCCGACGACGACCGCATTGTTCCCGCGCGCAACGTGTGTCCGTACTTCTTGTGAACTCATTTTAAAACGTTTTGTTTTCCTTTCGTTTCGAAACAAACTTCCAATAAAGCCAACAATATGTGCACTCGCGTGTCAATGGCCGCCAGATGGCGCGGCGTCAGCAGCGGCCACGACGGCTCCGACGCCAGCAGCGCGTGCAGAGCTGAAGAGACGGGCAGAGCGTGCAGTTGTCGTAAGCGCGCGAACGACGCGTTCCTCATGACACAGCACTGGTAGAGCGGCGCGAGGATCGAGAGCTCACGCGCGTCCGGATCGCCGAAACTCTTGCCGTTGTCTGCGCGGGAGAGAGAGAGTGAGTGGGGGAGTGTATGGGGGAGGGATGATACCGATGAGGAGGAGAGCGCTGTTGGGAACGTCTTTGAAGGCCTCGAAGTGATGTCTGTCGGCGTTGGAGATGAGGAAGTCGAACACAGAGGCGTCCACGATGTCCAGGAGGCGCGGTCGCAGAGGCAGGCGTTGCGCGACCGCAAAACAGTAGTCGCTTTGCGTCTCCCACGTCGCGCGCACTCCCGCGCGGTACGTGCGTTGCCACGGGTTGCGCACGCGTTGTAACTGCAAGGGAATCAATGTGGTGATTGGCGGACAGTTTGGCCACTGACCTTGTATTTGCTGGGCAGCAACAAGTGCAGCGATCCCTCGACGCGGCCGTCGCTGTCGGCGCAAACCGTGGCGAAAGGCGAGCAATAATGGCATTCGCCGTAAAAACACGTGCCGTTCGGCGAAAAAGTGGCGCTCAGGGCGGCGCTCGCGATGGCCTTGAGTTGGGCGACGTCCAGACGCCGCGCGACGACAATCGGCACGACGCGGAAGTCGAGGAGACGCGCCAAATGGAAGGCTAGCGGGAGAGACGGGAGAGAGTGAGAGAGTGTTGGGAAAGGAATGGTTTTTACCGATGATCTCTCCGTTGTGTCGATCGAAACCCGAATAAACGCCTAAACAAGAGAATTGTTGAGCGAGAGTTGGTTTGTTTGCGTCCATACCTGGGATCACGTGATCGCGGGAATAGCGCTGCGGTTTGAAGAGCGCGCGCTCTCCGCCCTCCAACTCCAACAACAGCTTGAGTTGAGTTCCCGTTCGCGAGACGTCCGCCCCGACAATGGCTGCCGTTTGCAGAGCAGTCAACACGCGCTGCAATTGCGGAACCGTTTGCGGAATCACTTGTCGGGCGGTAATCCAAGAGCGCGCCAAAGACCACGTCTCGGCCAACGAGAGCGCGCTTCCGACGGCGCCGTCGTTTCGCTGCAGACTTTGCACCAATTGTTGCGAAGAATCGTTCGCCAAATGAATGGAAGAAAGTTTTGATTGGATTTGAGTCCAAATGGTGTCCAAAATGTCATTTGAAGTGTTTTTCGATTGGATTTGAGAAAACGGAACAATTATCAGACTCGAAGTCTTGGTTTGGTTTCGGATCTGAAATCAAAGCAATTAACGAAAGGATTGGCGAAGAAGTGAAGAATTACTTGAAAATCGTCGAAAAAGACGACGAAATAAAAGACCATAAAAGCCGACAAAAGACAACAAAAGAGTAAAATGGAAACAATTCTCGTCTTTAATCTCATTATTGATTTGCATTCAAGAGTTGACGTAATTTGTGGACAATTAGAGGAAAATTGATTTTTATTTCAAAATGAATCGAAAGATAATTAAAACCGAAAATTCGGCTCAAGTTTTGGCGCAAATTATAAACCGCTGTTTCGCCGAATCCAAAGACGACCTCTTCTGCGTCGGCGTCTCGGGAGGAAGCGTTCCGCAGGTGTTGGCGCGCGCTGTGCCCCAAATGGTCACCGAATGGCGCAAATGGCGACTCTTCCTCTGCGACGAGCGTCTGGTGCCGGTCGACGACCCGGAGAACACGTTCGGCGTCTATCGCTCTGTCGTTCTACCGCTCATTCCCGAGTTGGCCGCCGACCAGTTCCTCGCCGTCGACCACTCGCTGGCGGTTGAAGACGCGGCCAAAGACTACGAGCGGCGCGTGAGAGCGGTGTTGGGCGCCGCGACGCCGGACCTGCTGTTGCTGGGCATGGGTCCGGACGGCCACACGTGCTCTCTCTTCCCGAACCACGCGCTCTTGCAGGAGAAGGACAAATGGATCGCCGCCATCACGGATTCGCCCAAAGTGAGTGTCACGTGTCTCTGACGTCAGCTCTCACACCTCTGTCTCCCGCAGCCGCCGCCGTCGCGCGTGACGATGACGTTGCCGCTCGTGAATGCGTCCAAATGCGTGGTCTTCTTGTGTTCGGGCGCCGCGAAGGCCGAAGTGTTGCGCCGCGTTCTGGTGGACAACGACCAGTCTCTGCCGGCCGCGCGAGTGGCGCCTCCCGCGGGCGCCGTGTATTGGTTGGTTGACGCCGAGAGCGCGCGTCTCATTCCCGAGGAGGCGTTGAGCGCAGAGTTGTTGTGACGTCACGTGATTTTCGATCAATAAAATGTTGTTTTGGAGTTTGCGTTCATTGACTGCGCGAAGGGTTGACGACCTGTGAGTGAGCGGAGCGCGTGCGCAGAGCGAAGGGTGTGTTAACTCGGACTCCATTGGATTGACTTTGGCTGCGATGGCGTTGACCACAGTGTCCACGAACTGCAGTCTCGACGACATCGACCTCAACGCCCTGAAGGTG